TCTTCATCGTCACCTAATCTCCTTCCTTCCCTCTTCTTCAAGGTTTCTCTCTCACTCACTGGAACCCTCGAGACCCTGCCAACACTGCGAAATCGAAAACAGCTCCTCAAGCAAAGACCTTTAGCTTTCTCTAAGGTTGGCTTCTTAATCTCTGTTTTTTTTTTTGCCTTTCAATTTGAGATTTGTTTTTAAATTTTCTGTTGTATATTCGATTTGATTGTATTGGAAATATCATTTCTGGAACCGGATTTATGCTCTTAGATTTACGAATTGCCTCCTCTGAATCTTGAAAATGTTATGATTTCGATCTGGTTTGTGAATTAGGGTTAGTTGCGTCTTCGTTACAAATTGCTTAGTAGCTTTGATTCAATGTTTTATATTGGGAAATTTGGAAGTTATATTATGAATCGATTTTCCTCGCTTTTCCTTTAACAAGCTTTGATTGTTCTTTGTGAAAACAGAGGAAAAAAAAATGGCAGCAACAACAGCTTCTTCGTTTTCGATTGGATCAACTGTTTCTTACTCCTCTAGAGCAAGCTCCTTGCCACAGTCGAAGGCACAAGTTGTGAAATTTAACTCAGTCCCTAGTTTTACCGGTCTCAGATCAACGTCTCTGATCTGTGGACAAGATTCCTCTTTTTTCAGCAAGGCTGTGCGCGGTTCTGTAATGAGATCCCAAACATCTGACAAGAAGCCGTATGGATTCAAGATCAATGCTTCGTACAAAGTGGCTGTTCTTGGTGCTGCTGGAGGGATAGGTCAGCCTTTGTCACTTCTCATCAAGATGTCTCCGTTAGTCTCTACACTTCACCTTTACGATATTGCCAATGTCAAGGGTGTTGCTGCTGATTTGAGTCACTGCAACACGCCATCTCAAGTTCGTGATTTCACTGGACCGTCTGAGTTAGCAGACTGTTTGAAGGATGTGAATGTTGTGGTTATCCCTGCTGGTGTACCGAGGAAACCGGGTATGACCCGAGATGACCTCTTTAACATCAATGCCAACATTGTGAAAACACTTGTTGAGGCTGTTGCTGATAACTGTCCTAATGCCTTCATCCACATTATCAGCAACCCGGTTAACTCTACGGTTCCAATCGCTGCTGAAGTGTTGAAACAGAAAGGCGTCTATGATCCCAAGAAGCTGTTTGGTGTCACCACGTTGGATGTTGTGAGGGCAAACACTTTTGTTTCTCAGAAGAAGAATCTTAAGCTTATAGATGTGGATGTTCCAGTTATTGGTGGGCATGCCGGTATCACCATTCTGCCTATTCTCTCAAAAACCAAACCCTCTGTCAACTTCACCGATGAAGAAATCCAAGAACTGACTGTTAGGATCCAGAACGCTGGAACTGAGGTCGTGGATGCCAAGGCAGGTGCTGGTTCAGCTACTTTGTCAATGGCATATGCTGCAGCAAGATTTGTCGAGTCATCTCTGCGTGCTCTTGATGGGGATGGAGATGTCTATGAGTGCTCGTTTGTTGAGTCAACTCTGACCGATCTTCCTTTCTTCGCATCACGGATCAAGCTTGGAAAGAATGGACTTGAAGCTGTGATCGAGTCTGACCTCCAGGGATTGACCGAGTATGAGCAGAAGGCATTGGATGCGCTTAAGACAGAACTGAAAGCTAGCATCGAGAAGGGTATTGCATTTGCAAACAAGCCTGCTAACTAGATCTTGATTTCATCTGGAAAACATGCTTCATTCAAGCTGATAACATTATTCTTCTGATCATTTTGAGTTTTGTTTAATTATCTTTTTTCCATCGGCGAGACATTTCTTGTTGTAGAATAAAGAATGTATTAGCTTCAGTTTGAAGGTTTTGAGACATGACATTGAAGCAGATTTTATGAATCATCACCAAAAGTCATTAGGAGAAAAGACACACCTTTAAACTAACGCTACACTCATCAAATAAAAACTTTGCAAATTTTGAACATTTCCAGTTTAGTTCTGATATTGTTTTTCTTTTTTTCTTGCATCAGTGAGACATTTCTTGTTGTAATATAATAGGTAGCTTGAAGATTTTGAGTCATGCCATTGAAGCAAATCTTCTGAACCATTACCAAAAGTCATTACAAGAGCATGACCCACCTTTAAAATGATGAAATCGGGAACGGTCTCTAACAATCACGACACGATCATAAACATCAGATACAAACTTTGCGAAATTATGGCAGTCAACACAAGTTCTAAGATTCTTGGTCACTCTAATGGTTGTTCCTGGTGGAGTTGCGAGAATACCAAAGGCAATAGCTAGTTTCTCGCTATGGTACGTCAAAGCATGTCCCTTTTCTTCTTCTGAATCCAGATTGTGCAGTTCCGATGTGATATCCGCCACATAACCTGCAATCTTCAGCTGCTGATTGATTTCTGCCAGCATTTTATAGATTTTTTCCTTTCGCAGATGCGAATTATCATCTACAATAAACTCGTGAACGGTTCCTTGTAGCTCGATTGCACTGCATCCAGGTTTGGTATGGATTTTTTTCTCCTTCATCAACGAACGCAATTCAGTCACTTTCTCCCATTTCCCAACCGAAGAGTATGTGTTGAGTAACAGAACGTAATCTCCAGCTTCTTCTGCTTTGAGTTCGATAAGATGAGAGATCACGCGTTCCCCAAGTTCCACATTTCCTTGGACTCTACAAGCCCCGAGAAGCGTACGCCATATGGTTGAGTCTGGCTTCATCTCCATTGATGTTATGAGACTATAAGCTTTATCGAGTAGACGGGCACGTCCCAAGAGGTCAACGATGCACCCATAATGATGTAAATTAGGCTGTATCTTAAACTCGCCGCTCCTCATCTTTTCGAAAAACATCGTTCCTTCATCGACCAACCCTGAATGGCTACACGCAGACAGTAAACCTGTCAGTGTCTGTTCCTCTGGAGAGATTCCAAACTTCAACATTTCGTTGAAAGCTTCAATGGCTTCTCTTCCAAACCCGTTCATGGCTAGACCCGAGATCATAGCCGTCCATGAGACCACGTTTTTTTCACTCATGCGATTAAAGACTTGATAAGCCTTATCCATAGCTCCGCATCGAGAGTACATCGAAACAAGAGTGTTGCTCAAGTTCAAAGCCCCACCGAGTCCATTTTCATCAATAAAGTAATGAACTTTTTCACCGAAATCCAACGCGCCCAAGCTGGCGCAAGCTTGTAGAGCTAGCAAGCATGTTACAGCGTCTGGTTTTCCACACCCATCGACCTCGTTCTTCATCTTATCAAACAAAAGCAGAACGTCTCGTGTACGTTTGTTCGACAGAAAACACGAAAGAAGCACGTTCCAAGAAACGGTATCTCTGTGGGGAATTTCGTCGAACACTTTACAGGCGTAAGTGCTGTTTTCACAGGTGGAGTAGAGATCCATCAGAGTCGTCATCAGAAGACTATCGGAGAGAAACCCATCACTCACAATCTTGCCGTGAATCTGCAAACCACCGAGTAAGTCACCTGATTTGATGCAACACTTGAGAGCAAAAGAAGAAGAGAGCGGATTAGGGGGAAGAGAGCTTTTTCGTCTGAGAGATCGGAACAAGCGAAAACCTTCGCCGGGAGTTTGGCTGACGGAGAAAGCTCTGATCATGGTGTTGCAGTGAGAGACACTCGGGTTACTCCTGTGGGAGAAAACCCGACGCGAGTAATCGATGTCTCGAGGAACGAGAGAGAGAGCGAGACGGGAGAGGAAGTGGTGGAAAACGTTAGAGTTTCTGATTAAGGAAGTGCGAAGTAAGAAGGCGTAAATCTGCCGGAGATGTAGTTTTCCGGTGGAAGATACGATCAGAGAAATCAGGTGGTGGTCACTGTTACTCATGGAATTGAACATTTCTTGAATTTTGAAATATGCCTCCTCTCAACAATCGTTTGGTATCAAAATCATCAATATTTTATGTGTATATCAGATCATATACATGGTTATCTATTTCGGTTTATGTTGGTTTAATATCTCGGTTTATGTTGTGTCTATTTAAGAAACAATTAGAACTCTTTTGATAGTTAATGAAGCACAAATTAAAGGTTTGTTATTTTTTTTTTTTAATCACAATCTTACTTCATTCATTAAACTTTCAACAGTGGAGAATAGAGAGAGAATTAGACATCCTCTGAACATATTACAATATAATTGAAAAACAATTAAACTTAAGATAGATATTTCATCGCGAAAGATGGACAGCGGATCCAATACATGCCTCAGATGCGTCAAGAAGGTCTTCACAGTAAAGCCGAAGATTCTCAGATTGGTCACTTTACATTGTGACTTAGAAGATCCCGGCACAAGGCTCGGGAGTTCGACCGCTCCCTATGAGAGGGAAGAGAATACGACCAATCTCAAAGAAATTGAAGAAAGTGGAGTTAGACTCATCCATTGGGAGTAACTTACAGGATTTGAGAATCCAGAAAACTTTGATCTTTTCATACGTAGATATATGAATCTCGAGGATTCATAAAATGAAGTAAAGTGAAATCGAATAGGTCTCTCCAAGCTCGATTTGAAAGACTTCGATTTTAACGAATTTCTAAAACAATGTCTAAATCGACAAGGAAAGCAGTACATTTTTGCATAAATAAATCGTGAGTGGTCTTATACCTGATTTACAAATAATCCTCTCGATCTGGTATTGGTATTGGGCCTTTTTTTTAAGAAATGGGCCAGAAGATGAAGAATTGATGGGCCAAGCCCAAAGCATAGAATCTTAACTTAAAAACCCACTCTTAAACTTCATATTGGGCTAAGCCCAAGACTGTTTTCTATCGTGAGTGAAGACCCACCGCTCCGGATGCATGTCGGTACTGGAAGGATGTTCGGTCAACCTTAATCGCGACAGAGGAAGTTCTGAGCTTCGTCTGGGCTTAATTCGATGAGGAGCTCCGACGAGGGAGGATAATTTTGGTTTCTTTGGGCCATCTCAGAGCCGGCAGCACCGGAGTGTAAGAGCAATTTGGATTGTCGGAAGGTAGTGAGGGTCGGGAAAGAGCGGCGAGCATGAAGGAGCGGAGGTCGGAGCCAAATCAACTCCCCCACCAGAACCGAAATCTAGACCGGCGAGAGAGAGACTGACTGAATCGGCAAATTGAGATCTCGGTGAGGGATAGGTTTTTGCAGTCGGCGGAGCAGTGAGTGAAGCCGACAACTGAGAAAGGACTGGTGGGCGAGAAGGATTGAGTGTTCGGAGAAGCAGAAGTCCCCGATCTGGTGGTGGGTTGAGTGGTCGGAGAAGCAACAGAACCTCCCAGAATCACCGCGAGAGGGATGCCAGGGGGGAGAGAGGGAGAGGGATTTTCGGGTATAGTCGGTTCCCATGCCGGAGCAGACTTAGTCGGCGAGAAGGATTGCGGTTGAGCCAATGGAGACGACTTGAGATCTCGGTGAGGGGTAGGTTTCGTAGTCGCCGAAGCTTGAGATGAAGCCGACGACTTGGTATAAAGTGAGATATCCATTGAGGAGCCAAACACGGCGATTCCACAGAAGCAGATGAGAAGACTCTGTGTCATGCCGTGCAAAATCCGACGGGTCCGGCGGGATTGGAGGCTCTGGCGGTAGAGAGAGGACTTTCATTTTCCAGACATGAATCACCCCGGAGAAGGAGTGAATGAACCTCTTTTCTACTCGTGAGTTACAGCTAGTACCATCTCGAAGCGGAGATCTTCCCAAAGGGACGATGGGTCTCCGAAACATGAGGAGAATCCGAGACGGCGCCGGCCCTGGAGCTCAGATAGCTAGGGAAGCGGAGCAAGATTGACGGTGAGCTTCCATTCTCACCGGCTGAAGCTTGTACGCGACGCCTCGAAGCTCGTGTTTAGGGCGAACTTTTTCAATAGCAGGTTAAGTTTTGTTTTTTATCTATCTATTATTTTATATTATAGATGGTGAGAATACACCAGAATAAAAATTGTTTTTTTTATTACATCGTATTTTGATGTTGTCTTAAAACTTTTTTTTAATTCTAATCGATATACTTGATAATTGGTTTATAATTTTAATTTATTTTAACCGATATATTGATGATTAGTTTACGTATAGATAAATATCAGATTTGAATATATCAAGTAAATTTTTGTTCTTATCTGATCCTTCCTCGGTTCCTATAAATATACTTGTTTGATTATGAGTCAAATCATCGTCTTCTCCCTTTTTCATTATTTTCTCGTTTTTTTCTCTCTCTTTAGTTAGAAAATTGTAGTAGATATTATGTCATCATTGTTTCGGTTCTGATGATCGTATACTATATATGTCAAATTTTGATTCTCTATG